CTCGCATCCAAAAGAGTAAGAGCTCACTCACTCGCTCACTCACGTGTTCGCCATTTGCACAATCAGGACACCACACTCATCACACACCTGTTCGGATTCTGGCCACTGTCCGCGACTGACTGACTGACTGACTGACTGGTGTCGAAGGCAGCGGATCCCTTCCTATACCGTAGAACGTCCTATGCGTGTAACCTTGAACTGCCACACTCACTCATATCCACGTATCCACTCGCGTCATGGGTAAGAGAGCCCGGTACGTGCCGAGATCTAACAAAGGGTCGGCAGGCCCCCGGGCGCCAAGGGGGGACGGGGCCCCGATATCCACATCTGAAAGCCCCACATGTTGGAATGGGCGTACGTACGTACGTTGCGTCTTCGATCCAGTGAGAGATGGCGAGCCGGGCAAAACTCGTGTCGTGCTCAGGCCAGGCACGATGCGCCATCAAGCAATCGAGATCTCGAGGCCTCCCTCGAGTTTTTGTTTAGCGTAGCGTAGCATAGATTAGCTTGGCATGAACACACTACTACTTCTTCTTAAGCGCCATATAACCACTTTAATTTAATTATGCTGCACAAGGCCAAGGCAGATTAGGTGATATGAGCACAATCTTCCCTTTTGTCAAGAACGAGGAAGGCCGCAGGTAGCAGCAGCAGAGGCACCAGCACCAGCTCCAGCAGCAGCAGGAGGAAGATCAGCTGGGGGTAGGGGTGGTGGTGGTGGTGCTGTATTGGTTACAGAAAATCCACTGCCTCCTCATGTTTGTGCCTTGATGCTGCTCCCCTCCCTCCCCTCCCCCCTGCCCCTGCTCTGTCCCGGCTCAGATGAAGTACAAGAAGCATATCTCAACAGAAATCATAGAAAAGGAAGAACGAGAGAGAGAGAAAGGGGGAGAGAGGTAGAGAGAGAGAGAGAGAGAGAGAGAGAGAGCGAGGCTAGCGCTAGAGGTCGAAAAGGGTTGTAGGATCGACGACTTGAGCCGAGCTCGCGCGCGTGATCTGATCTGAGCTTAGATTAGCTGAGGTGAGCTGGGGCCTGGGGCCTGGGGCCTGGGCTGGCCTGCTGTGTCTGCCCCACACATACATACACAGGGCGTAAGTACTCCTGAGTACTGAGAGGTCTGGGAGGGAGAATGTTGTGCCAGCTAATTTTCCGGACAGGGGGGAGGGAGGGGGAGGGAGGGGGCCGAGCCAAAAGGGGGGATCCGGTTCTTTGAAGCACGTCCGTCGGATGTTTCATGGTCCGTTAGGAAAGTGTACTTACTTCGTCCCTCCCTGGGGTTGTGTGCATCGATCGATCTCTAGAGGAGAAGCAGCAGCAGCAGCAGCGGTATACTTCTCCTCTGGAACCGTGTACAGATCTCTCGTCCTCCTCGTCCTCCTCGTCCTCGTCCTCCTGATCCGACTCCGACTCCGACCCCGAGTCTGGGACCCTCGAGACACCATTAAAGTAATCCCAGTAATTTTATGACGGGGCGTCAACTTGCCCCCGAGCTGTGGGCTTGATAGCTTATGATTATAATGGGCTGGAGCTGCTGCTGCTGCTGACATCGAGTCGAGAGAATTTCTTTTTTACCCGCGCTCCTCGCTCCCCGTTGTTTATGCTTTTCACTCCTCCTCTATCTGATGTTTGCCTCGGTTTGGCTCGTCAGAAGGTCTTCCGATCCATTCAAATGGTCCCCAGGCTGCATCCAGGAAGGTAACATCCGTCCAACAACCTACTACTTCAGGACAAAGCGCGGTCACTGGACCCCAACTACAGTGAGCCCTTTGTCAAACCCTACTCGCGCGCCTAGCCAGCCCCTTTCTTTATTTGTCAAAGCCTCCGGCCCCTCCCCCTCCCCCTCCCCCCGTACTACGAGTTTCGCAGCCCCTCGGACCCCCCCGACTGCCATCACTGTGTTGGACTGGCTGCTGCTGCTGCTGCAGCCCCAGCTAGCTAGCCCCCAGCTAGCCCCCTAGCTGACTAGGGTTACTAGCCCACCCCCCGTAGACTGGCCTGGTCCGAGTTGGGGTTTGTATTGTACCGGCATGGTACTGGGGACTCGAGGGAGGGGGAAAGGGAGGGCCTCTGGGCCTGTACCATAGCGGTTGCGACCAACTCCGTCCCTTACGACAGAGCTCCTTGCGGGCAGGAGGAGAGGAGGGGAGGGGAAGGGAGGGGCTTGGCAGGCCGCGAGTATATACTGGTCCGCAGATCAGAGCGCTACGAGAGGTAGCAGTAGACGAATGATGATTATGAAAATGGAATAGGACATCATATGAGTGCAGATTCCGCAGAGCCTCGCCATTCGCTGCTCGCGGGCCTTGGCCTTTGCGAAAGTCTGTGGGGCTGACAGGTGATCGGAAAGCTGGAGATTATATGATCATAATGGACGGCATGAGACCAACATTCTATTGGCATCTACCTCCTTGCCAAGACCTCCGTGACATAAATTCTGCCTTTCTGTGTTGACCGACCTTTTCCCCCTTATAAACTATATCCCTCTACGCGTACGTACGTCCTCCTGTATTCTACCCCCGGCCGCCGGTCGAACATTCCACAGGGAAGGCTGTTTTACCAAAGTGGTAAGGTGGCGAGTCGTGCACCGGATGCCCCTCCCTGTTTCGACCCGGGGGGCTGGGGGTGGGGCTGGGCTTGGGCTTGGGGTTCGGGGGCAACGAAAGGCCGTTCTCGTTGTACATGCGAGGCCGTTCTCGCTCTCTCGCTCTCTCGCCCCCGACTTATCATAATCCGTATCATAAGCTTCGGGCTTGTCGGTTGGTTGTTCGGTTTTGCAATCGGAAACACAACGCTCTGAGGGAGCATGAGAGTGGGCGACGAGCAAGCTCGTGCCATACTTTCTGCGTACATGATGATGATGATGATGTTCTGCTGTTGCTGCTAGAAACTTGCCGAGGTTCAATACTCTCTCTCTCTCTCTCTCAGCTCCTTCCTTTCAACTTCACTCGCCAAACATTTCGCATCTTTGTTCCTCTTTGCGAGGTCAAAATGGCGCCCTATTTTTAATATTGCGAACAACCACTTATCTCCTGGATATGTCTGGACGTACGTTTCCGGTACATCCTAATTGGACTGTCGTCAGCATCATCAAGCGTTGGAGGCGACGAAACCACCATCTCGCCAAGACAGCAACATGATCCGGTGCAAATCCGAATAATATAGTTGTTAGATCGAATATGGAATCATGTCTAAACGTCGACTCCGCACTATAAATGTGTACTTGACATGTGTCGAGTCCATGCTCGAGAATCGTTTTCATACCATGAGGGATAGAAAGATTTTTGGACATAAATAAAGCAAGTTCTAAGAAGGGCCAAAGAAAATTTGACATGTGTATATTATTTACAATATATACAACAATATCAAGGATTTTAAAATAAATCTTCTATACTTTATAAAGTGGAATATGGATAATACCAAGTAGAACTATCGACACATCCTATATCTGCCAGCGACTTGAAGGCTGAATATCAAGGATTCAGACTAGATAATGAAATCAATGAACACAGTTTCCATTTATGTCAGGAGCTTCAACATAACAGCATCCATACCAAATTTCATCTTTATTAAACACAACAGGCTTGAGCAATAGCAGAAATGCATGAGGAGAGAAAAACCTTTCAATTCTAAGTACGAAGGCTTCAGCTTGTACGAGATCCCGCTTGTTTGTATCTGAGTATGACGTGAGAACGATTCCTCATTGAGATGGGAGGAGTTCCTCTCCATTCTCCGGTCCTCAGACCTGTCATCAGAAGGGACCGGGCCCTTCTTTTGGGGTGGGGAAATCGTTGTGGCGCCTATGTGCGCGTCTTAAATGAACTCTTTGATATACTCCACATATTGCTCTTCAGTCCAATATATCAGACTTGAAGGGAAAGGAGAGGAAAGGAAAAGAAGTCTCGCATATGCGTGTTCAGTAAATGCGCGTCGCCGAGTCTGACGTAGTAGCTCGAGATCAACATTAATTCAGATAATATTTGATTAACACTACCAACTTAAAAACTGGGCTTCATCAGGGGGTATCACCTTGACCAAAAACCTTCGAGCAATGCAATGCAACCCGTACACCATCGCCGGCGATATGCAAGGTCCAAGGGTTTAGGGGTTTAGGGGTTTAGATCGAAACTGTACCCGAGTCGAAGCCAATGCGAGCTTTCATACGCAGCAGACGACGACTCACGTCCTACAGCTCAATAATAATAATAATGACAGTGCTCAATGTGGGATTCCAGCTCCAGGTCCGGCCTCCAGGAGGATCTCCGGCCAAGACATCGGCAGGTCGCCTGTTCCGGCGAATGATGCGCTCTGCTTACGGAGGAGGAGGACGACGAGGCATCTCCCGCTACATTGGGCCGGGGCTTCTGGAAGAACATCAGATCCCACGAAGCGCGATCGAGTATGGATGGAGGTCGAGGCAGGTATGGAGGGAGGGGGCGACGGCGTACGCGTATGCGGAAAGAGACAGTTAAATTTAACTAAACGTCAGATGACATAAATTGGCCAGGAGCGAGGCCTTGTAGGGTTCGAGGATCAAGGATCCAGTGCTCGCTTCCCGACATTCTAGCCGCAGGGCCCACCACAATCATTGGCTTCTTTCACCTTACCCCGGGATAATCCGCATTGATGACGATCGAATCTAACGGCACCGAATTCTTTCTTCCATCATCGACGATACATACCAAGAGCACTAGATTGGTTAATCAAGATGGCGGCGCTCGAGAGGTGAGCAACCACAGAAACCAGCATTCGTACACGGTAGGGCTGCGTATGATCCTCTCGCCGGCCGGGAAATTTTACCGGCAGGCCCCAAGTGGCCAGTCGAGGCAATCATTGCAGATTAAGGCCTGCACGTGCCGTGCGCATTTTATAACTTCAAATATATGAATCCCAATAAGTGCCCCGGCTCTCGCCCGGGGTTGGTGTGCCGATCTCGGGGGCTGGTCACCGGATTCGCCGGTTACCAGCCCCGCTCCATAGCTCCCCGAGATGGCGGCGGTGGCCGTCGAGTTCGACGCATGCACGCTCATTCTCTTCCCCCACCTCCCCCCCAGCCCCCCCTCCCTTCGCTTGGGGCTCGGACGGGCGCTTGTCTTGAGGCGGCCGGGATCCGGTCGCCGGGCTTGTGCTGCCCCTGCTGCGGGGGGGTGGGGCCACAGCCACCGCGCAGCTTTGGCGTCGTGGCAGCCCGACCCGCGTCTCGCGACCTCTCAAGTTATATAGCGAGACCCGGCCCGGCCAGGGGGAAAGGGCTTAACACTTCGGTCCTGGCTCTGGTTGCCATCGCGGATTCTGTCCGGGCACAACCACAACACAGCAGCAGCTGCGCTACTCGCTCGCCTCCACTTGCCACCACTCGCAACTCTCATCGGAGGACTCGGAGCGCTATCGAGGGAGGGAGGGAGGGAGGAAAGAGAGAGCGAGAGATTAGGAAGGGGGGACGACGATTATCGAAATGGTGGGGAGGAAGCTGGGCGAAAAAAGGGGGAAGCGGAGTCGAGATGGGAGGTATCGAGGGGTGCGACGACGGCCCTGGGGCCGATATGCTGCGGAAATTCGCGATCCGAACACGAAGGAGCGCAAATGGCTGGGGACGTTCGACACGGCTGAGGACGCAGCGTGCGCGTACGACAACGCGGCGCGCGAGATGAGAGGCCCCAAGGCGCGCACCAATTTCTGCTTCCCCGCGCAGCTGCCGTCGGCCAAAGCGGCCGGCTTCCACACCAGCTCTCTCGGCTCCAATGCGCTGGAGTGGATTCAGCGCAGCCTCGTCGCCAGCTCCTGGGCCCCGGCGCATTCGCAGTCCCACTCTCAGGCGCAGGCGCAGGCGACCTTGGGCCACGGATTTTCCGATTTCCTGCTGGAAACCCGCCTCGCCTCCTCAGGCTCCAACATTCTGGCCTCGGAATCGCGCCTCGTCGCGGACCTCGGCCACCAGCCGCAGGAATCGCGCCTCCTGTCCTGCAGCACCAGCACCAGCAGCAACAGCAATAGCAACAGCAGCTGCGGCGGCGGGCGGTCGCCCTGCTCGGACGCGCAGGTGCTCGCCGGCCCCTCGGGCAGCTCGGGCTTCAACGAGCTGCAGCGCATGTTCCAACCGCCCCCGCGCAATCCTGCGCCCCTCCACCCGTGTCCCGGTCCCAGCCTCAGCACCGCGGCCTTGCCGTGCTTCAGCGGCGCCTCGAGGTTGTGCAACCCTTACTCGCAGTACGCCATCTCGAGCTTCCAAGAGAGCACGCCCTCGCCGCTGCTGCTGGACGAGCAGTACCTGCAGCGGAAGCTGGAGGAGCAATGCGACGCCATAAAATTGGAGGAGCAGTGCGCCGCCGTGTCTTTGGATCACCAGCTGCACAGCCTCCAGATGCACTTCTGCCCGCCGTCGCCCGCCTCGTCCTACGACGATTGCTACTACGGTCACGACGAGGCTTTCTTCCTCGACTCCATGCCTGCCCTGCCGGAGCACGATTACTACGACATTCTGGGCTCCTTGCCCGAATTCAACGAAGATCCAACTCTTCTTTTAGTTCCCCCACTCATGTAAATGTAGAAAGCGGGAAAATTTTCCTCTTGTACAAGATTACGTATAATAAAATTTCAAAGTTTTGTCCAGTCGCTGGTGTGCCCTCGTGTGTCATATCTCGCCGAATGCAGCGTCGCCACTGCGCGAAGATGTCCCGGTCAAATTTCGATCCGGCTCCCGGAAGGCTCATCCGTCAGTCGAGTTTCTCGACTGTAAAGTGATACGACGGCGGGAAGCTCTTCGGGGTTCAGCATTGTCTTGTCGACAGGCACGATGGCGGAGATCGGCCTCACCCGATCATTTGGTTGTTGTTAATTGGCGGATCGAGTGGAGCTTCTGCCCCTAGAACTCAGGTTTCGTCACTTCGCAGGTTTTGGTTTGAAATGAATCGGAGTGTCATCACTTGATGGAGCCTCCGATTTCAGCTCGGAGTCTCCCCCTCGATGCCAGTTCTGGTTACAATTGCTGCAGTGGGCGGGGCGACGAGGAATGCCGGCCATGGCATCGATTCTCCAGAACGGTGGTATCAGATATCGGTCTTAGCTCTTTCTGTGAGAGCGAGTTCAGTGGGCTTGTGCCGGGGATCTCGTCATCGAAAGCACTGCGGAAGCTTTTGCAGAATCCCGTGAGTCGACCGTCGGGCTGGCATTCGGGAGAAGACCGCACGGACAAGATTGCTGCCCGTATCCATTTCTGGAATCCTGGACGTCTGAGCACCTCGGTTAAGTCCAAGAGTGGCTGTCTCTACTTTTCGTCTGTTCTGACACTCGGGGACATTCAGCGTTGGTCCCCCGCGGGCGTCAAGCAAACCGTAATTGCGCACTGATTTTCGATGTCAAAGGAGGTTGGTTCAGAGACCAAGACTGAAAAGTGCCTGCTGTAGTTCTGAACGACCTCGGGGCTCAGGAAAAGTCGAATCGAGGAACGACAATGGACAGGCCGACCCCTACCCAGTGTTGTGGACGATGAGAGGAATCCGATCTGACGATCTTCCAGATCGAGTCTGCGCAGTATGGCGGAACCTGGAAAGCCCGGACGAGCAAATATCTTGAACTCTTGTGCAGTCCCGGGACTAAGTTCAGAAAGGCTTGTGACACAGTTGAAAGTGTAAGGAAGGAAGTGTACAAGAAGAAGAGCTCCCGTTTTGGTTGTAGTGCAATCAGAGACAACCAAACTTGGCAGCGAGTGCCGAGCTCAGACTCGTGATCAGAGTAGATCAATGGACATGGTGGTGGTGCTTGCGGTCACGAGCCTCGTGATCGGATGCAGCGTTTGTCACTTTGTGCGAGTCAGTGCACTGATGAGAGGAGTGCTGTGCAGAGCACCGGGGTTGTGAATCTGTCCTTTTGGTGATGGCTGAAGAGCCTCGTTGGGCAGGGACTACGACTGTCAGAAAGATACTATATAGAAATGACGAGCAGAGATTGGCCATGGGAGGTTAGCGCCTCTGTCATCGTACCGAAAGATACTGGACCTTTAGCTTAGGGCCCTATGAGCTGCACATCTGTGCATGCAATGCAAAAGTCTTCCTCGCAGCGTCCCAATAACATTGTTCCCCCAATTGGTTTTGTTGCCCTTTGGCGTTTCCATGGAAGCTTTTGCTGCATCTCTGTGTTCACGTCTGTCGAATTTACTGTATCATCCGGTGGCTCTCTCTCTCTCTCTCTCTCTCTCTCTCTCTCTCTCTCTCTCTGGATCCTCTCCATAGGTTTGATTGGTTGCAGTCGTTAGATCGGAATGATTGTCTGACTTTGTAGAACCTTGAGCAGTGCACTTACATCGTTTCTTCCCAGCTGTGTGTGTAATATGAGCTTAGCATGTTGCGGTGTTTAAAATCAGCTGAAGGTGTTAATAGGCTGTGCATCGCTGCGAAAGAGAACTCGAGCACTTGGCTGGGCTGATATCGAGAACACAATCAATTAATTTTCTGCTGATGGCATCAATCTATCATTCACCAGATGACGGTTGCACTGTCTTCGTAGCAGGAAGAAATGTTATTCAAATCAAACCATACACTTCTACAGCCCACTAACGCGGCTACGGCCGTACCCGCATCATACTCGCACATTGCTTTCTTGGTCTGTAAAAACAGTCCGTTAAATAACTCACGACTATCTTCCATACACTGTCGTGACAAAATACTCAAGTTTCCACCACTGTACCATTACGATTAGCCGCAGCAGCCGCAGCTCACATGTTTGCACGAAACCCATGATCTTCACTGCGGTGACCACTCACCAGCTCAATGCCGTCGAGCACTTCATAGTTTCATGGCTCTAAGAATATGGAAACTGTCTCTAACGAATGCTGCGACGTCTGAGCCACAGGAAGGCCTAATTCTCAGTTTACCAAATCGGGAGTCTCTGGAAATGAATCTTCTCAGCAGGGAGGGTGGTTGCGGGCATACATCCAGTGGAGTTTCCCGTCCATCTATTGCCGGAGGACGTCGAGTCGAGGAAATCGCAAAGTGTCTCAAGAATAGTGGTGCTATTGTCGAGATGATCCAGATTCCCAGTCAATCTGATTGCTGTGAATCCCGGAGAACGTGAGGGGCGGGGCGGGCAGCGTCTGAAAATCACGAGGTGAGGCTCGAGTCTGAGAGAGGAAGGCCGGTGACAGACACACGAAAGCGCTCTAGAAGCCGAAGCCGAAGCTTCTACACAGTTGTTGTTGTGGGACATTCGTCATGCGGTACGGTGGAAGGATTTTGTAGCTAGTCCAAAATGGTCTCGTCCTATCCATCTATCCATGCTCCCGCAACAGGCAGGTGGTCATGCCTCATCCAGCTCTACGTCGTTTTTGCTCGTTCTCGCTTTTGCTGAGTCCTCACTGTTGCAGTAACTGCCTGCTTTGTTGCCTTGTGCTCTCGTGTAGGCCCGTCTCTTCATGGCAGGCAGGTCGCCTTGTGTCAACGAGCTCTCTACAGTGAAAAGGCGGAACAAGAGCGGATAGGGCCTGGACTCTACTTTCTAGCAATGGCGTGCTCGAGCGAATGTGAAGCCGGCCATGGACGGACTGGACTCATGGAGGGCGCGAGGAATAAACTGTAGAATAGTGATTTGCAGGGCGTATAATTTCCCGGCGATCTAAGCCAGATGAGGATGTGGGCAAATATAAGCCTCGGATTCACGCAGGCTCTGATGTGTCACGCAGTCATAGCCCTTTCGGTCGGCATGTGACTTCGACGGGGAGCTGGTGCTTCCCATCTCTCGCTCAGCTCAGCTCAGCAGGTGACGAGCCTCAGTTCGACCTACGAGTCTCGTGTTGCCCAGCGCTGGCCAAAGTAGCGGTAGAAGTAGTAGTCGGTGCGCTTCGGTTTACTTACTCCCCTGAGCGTATTAACTGGGCGTTTAAGGCTCTCTGGTACAAGTCTTGATTGAAGAGGCTGGTCATGCAGACATAAGTCCACAGCACACCCAATAAGTCGTCCCATAAAATGGTGAGCTGATCGAATTGTGTGGTCTCGGCTCGAAGCTCTACGATGAGCTTGTGGTACGTCGCAATCGATGGATGGATGGATGGATGCGTAGATTTGAGAGGAAATACTAGCACATCCCTTTTTGATACAGCCAGCTTCTGTCCATTGATGACGGACGAGGCTCCCATTGTCCGGGTCTGATGTACTCGGGGAGTGGTAAGCAAAGGACGATGAACTTCCATGTGGCCATCCAGGACCAACGCCAGAATCCCTCCTTCAGCCCCTTCATGTGGCTTCAGATTGATCCAATTCTCCATAAGACAAAGATGCCCTTTCCAATCGATTGACCCTTTATGCAGAATAAAATACCGGAGGAATCTTACTTCGGTTGGGTACATCCATCATTCCCTCTCAGCAAAAAGTGAAGAGGCGCTTCCCAACCACCAATGGATGGCCACCATCAAGTGGCACATCAGGTCATGCATCCTCCTCTGCACAACACCATCTCCTTCAGAGTAAATATGTATTCTCTAGAGTCCCGTGACCACTCGCATCATAAGTGTGCACGTTGTTGTATCTTTGGCCGATTTGTTCTTTCTCTTTTTGTGCAACGGACGTAGGATTACGACGCAAGGGTATCTTCCGACCTTTTGCTGATTTTCTGCTCATTCTGCAGCCTGCGAGTTATTGAACGCTAATCGCCTTCAAGCTAAGCAAAGCATGTCTGAGTTCCAGGCCTCTGATGGATCGTCCTCCCTGCTCCAGCCAGGGTGTTTGTAGACCGTCGGTTCAACGAGGGGTGGGATTCGAAATTCTCGGAATCATTTAGATCGAAGGCAATTCGGAGTAACCGAGGGACGTTTAAAGTCATGAAGAGAGACACCAACGAGGTGTGAGGACTACTGATAAGCTCGACCCACCATCGTCTAAACATGTGATCAAATAATGATAATGATATGGACTGTGAAATCACTGGGTCCAAACACCTCTTGAACGCAAGCATCTTCGTACCATGTTCAAATGGATCAGTGGCAGGACATGTCAAATGATTGAGATGGCTAAGAACTACTACTGCCCATCATCACCAAGCCACCCTGAGGCCTTTTGATTTCTGTGAGCATACGACATCACATCTAACCTCTTAATTCACACAGACTAACACGTCGCCCTGAGTTCCAAACAGACCTGCTATCGCAATGGTCAGGGTCTTTTATATAATCTCAGGTTAGATTTTGTGTGGGTGTGGGGTGGGGCGAGGTTTTGAAAGAGAGAAGGTTTATACAATATCTTATTAGCGCTCGATTTATTCATGATGAAGAATCTAAACGTAACCTCCTAACTCAGATGCTGTTCTTCGATTCCAATTCTGTCATGTCACGCTGAAAATATGAGACAGAAATGCCGAAAGGCAGACCAGGCAGATCTTCGCACGAGTCTATATCTATTCATATATCTATAATGATTTATTTATGGTTAAATTATTACCTTTTCCCTGCATGTGCTTGTCTTCTCGATTGTATGGGATGACTTCACTCGATTTCTCAGATCTGTATCGACATTATTTACTTTGCCCACAAGTAAGGTCCTCGCACATGGGGAGTTAAAAATTGGCAAACACTGAATTCGTGTTCGCCAATTTCCTCCTCCGTGACACACACTCGAATCATATAACTAACTCAGTCTTCACATGTTCATATTATATACATTCCTCTGTCTCACGAATGCTGTACCATCCATCCATCCTGCGTATTTTCCTTGTCACGTACCCATGCCCACAGTCTTTGAAATAATATATCGTACTTCTGATTCCTCATGAGTAGTGTACCTGCTTCTCTCTTTTTTATATATATCTTTTTCGCTTTAAGGTCGATCACTGTATTGATACAGTAGTTGGTTCAGAGAGAATCCGAGCATAAAAGCATAAAAAGCATAAAAGCTCTCAAAACATCAACCCAAAAAACACGATCACAGATTCGGATCAATGGAAATAGTCCACCCGAGCCGACCTGCGGAGAGAGACAGCTTTTTGGAACGAATGTGTCTAAGGGCAATCATTTCATGCATCCAGCCTTTTGCTTTTTGAATGATTAGGCGTCGACTTCATGCATATTTCCCGCAGGGGTAGTACACATTAATTAGCGATGGTTCGGTCGTTGCTTATTGCTGCACTTCAACCAAGCATGAATCGGAAAGGCAAAAGGCAAGCTGATGGAGGAGGAGGAGGAGGAGGGAGGGAGGGAGAGAGGATCTTCCTCTCTAGATGGAGAACCCTGGTTTCTATCTTCGCGATGATTTACGAAACTCCAGTTACTCCAGTTACTCGAATCGACCGACCGACCAACCTGACCGACCTTCCGACCTTTGACCGCCAGCAAAGGTGAACTTTGACTTGATTGACTTTCTTACCCATACTCTAGCTCTGTTCTCCTCCCCACCATTTTATCACAAGTCCTGCTTATACTGCTGTCACAAGTTCACAACTTGCTCTACTATGCCGTTGCCGTTTGGGTCCAGCCAGCATCAACTTCGGAGGCAAGCTCGTTGGACCGACATTTCAATCTTCGTCCGTTGCTAAAATAATGTTGTCACTTTTCTTAATTCCACCAGATGAAATGCATGTCGAATTGGAGCAAGCTCCTTTATAATAAATATCAAACCTCCCGCCTTACTTTCACATAGCCAACCTGAAAGCTCGCCATTGGGTTGATGGCCTTTTGGACTGCCTTTTGTTTTCAAACACGTGAACGTGATCTCAAATGAAATGAAAGCTCAGAGTGGGCCTCTTTAAACCCTTTTTGGGTTTATGGCATGGCATGAGATGCTTTATGATATTCTAATGCCATGCGGATTCGAAGGTAGACAGTCCGACGGCGAGACAAGTGATGAGATCTGATTCACGTTCGTTGCAGCTCACGCAGCGAAGAGTGATACCCGGATGTGAGTGAACAAATGCGAAACCTGCAACCGAGCGAACGAGAGATCATCCGGACGACATTCTCCTGAGGCTCCTGCCTAACGAGAGGTCTAACATCTCCGACTGTCAGATATGAACTGCACATCGTTCAAGTGGCCATTGCTCACACCGAAGGGTCGAACAGTTTTGAAACGCACGTTTGTTGAAATAATTGAGAACCAATTAAGGTCCATAAGTTTCTGGCCTTGATTAGAGTTGACCCACTAAACCCTTCCAAGTAGACATGTGATTGGCCTTCTCGCGCTCAGTAAATCTGTAGGCAAAAGATCCCAAGTTTCCGCATTAAGAACTTATCATGTCAGCACGTGCTGATCTTTAAGTGATGTGGGGGCTAAACAAGCCTGGATCCGGTCTAGCCTTTGCTTCGCCTTGCACTTTAATATACTTCCCGGCCTCTGGCCACATTTCTCTCCTCTGCCTTCCAATATCTATGTCCATGTATCGCCAGAGATGAGGAGGCTCGAAGAATTAATATCAACGTCAACTCCATGCCCTCTTGCCATATGAAAACGATTCCCATTCCGTAGAAGGATGAAAAACGAACGATCGAAGGAAGTCCATGGGCCTCATCTGCTGCTGCTGATGCTCGTACGACTTCCGTCCGTGAGTACTCAACTAACTGTCTTGAAGGTATCGATTTAACGAGTCGATACGGAGATGTCAGGAAAGGAAGTCTTTCGATGCAAAAGAGGTATTGTTGCCCGCATACCTTTGGCCAATACGATGGTGCGAGATCAGGCGATTTTCCACCCAGTTCTCTCTCATTGCAAAGACCCAGCACGAGGACGAGCTTTCGAGGGCAGAGTTGGGTCCATCGTCGCCGGAGGAGGAAGGCAGGGAGGGGCTCTTGTATCCGGCGGCGACGGACCCGACAGCCCGGGAACAAGCGGGCGTTGCGGCCCAGCGAAGCCGCTCACTCGCCGGGAGAAATCTCTCTCTCGGAGAGTCTGGGCGTGGCAGGGCAGTGCCTGATATGGCAGTGATGGCAGTCGTCGTGAGGTGACAGACGATTTTTGGCACAGGGTGCTCGCTGGGTACACGGTTCTTGTAGTAGTATGGATGGATAAATAGATGGGCGTCCACTGAGCTGATGAAACGTTGAATGTATTCCACGAGCTTTTGTGTGGAGTGATGACTCTTTTTGATCATGCACGCTGGAAGTTTATTTAATTTAATAAAGAGATGATTTTGAGCAATGTGGTTTTTTGAAACTCTTGTCGCATCCGTAAGTACTGTGAGCAAAGGATTTGTTTTCGACGAGAGACTAATGGAAACTGGATCATGGAAAG